AAACACGTAACAGGGGAAAACAACACAGGCCGGAAAAGTCACGTAACGATGGAAATAAAATAAAAAAGGAAATAATAATTAAAGATAAATAGTGAAAGAAAAATATAATATGGAACAACATTATTATTAAAATAATAAAAAACACATAGAACATCACATGGATACTACTGAGAACAACCCAAAATATACATAGAACATGCCACGAGTATACATGAATATTCAAATATAATCATAGAATATCCCATTTCTATTATGTGAGCGTCACAAAAAAAACATCATAGAACATCACATATATATTATGTGAACATCAAACCAAGACATATGAAGAAAATAAAAAATAATAAAAAAAAAACATGTAATAGAGGAAAATAAAAAAGAACATCACATAAAAAAAGAACGTAATAAAAACACATAGAACATCACATGGATACTACTAGAACAATCTAAAATATACATAGAACATCTCATTTAGTATATTTAGAATATAAAAACATAATGGTGGAACATTCCATTTATACTAAGTGAACATCACAAAAACAACATTGTAGAACACTACTAAAACAACCTAAAATATATACGAACATCTACTTAAGGACTACATGAATACTCAAATGATAATCGTGGAACATCCAATTTATACTAAACTATACTAATCGTAACATCACAAAATACATCTAGAACATCACATGTATATAACGTGAATATCGTATTTATATTCTACTAACATCACAAAAAACATCTAGAACAAAGAACATCAGCATATCTTACATGAACATCACATGATTATAGAAAATAAAAAACTAAAAAACAAAGAGAATGGATAATCATAATAATTATTTAGAGTAAAATAAAGAAGAAGAAAAAGTGAAATAAAAAAGAATAAAAAATGCTATAAAACATATATAATTAAATTACTAGGAAGAGAATTAGTTAATAAAATATTAAACCAAATATAGGAGAAAATAATTAAAAATCTACTAAAAAGAAAAACAAAGTGAACACCACATTTATACTATGTGAACAACATGTAGTACACCATAGAACATACCATGTAGACTACATGAACATCGATATATAATAAGAAATATAAGAAATAAAAAACATAAAAATGAAAAGAAATAACATACTTAAAATAGTTAATTAGATTAAATAGAAGAGAACAAATGAATAAGTTAAATATAATCAAAATATTATGGAACTACATGAACACCCCATAATACACAATGAAACATCTCTTATACATAGTGTGAGTATACAAAAATATATCACGGATCATCACATATATACTACGTGAACATCATAAAATTTAAATAAAAAGTAAAAATAAATAAGAAACAATTATAGTAAAATTAAAAAAGGAGAAAAAAATGAAAACAAAAATAAAAATAAGAGAATTCACCAAAAACAAAAAAAGAAAAGTGGAAGAAAAGAAAGAGAAGAAAATAAAGAAAAATTAAAAAATAAGAAGATGAAAAATGAAGTAAATAAAAATAATTAATTATATGAAAATTAAATACAGGAAGATATAAATGATAAAAGAGATAAGAAAAAAAAAACAGACAAGAAAGAAAAAAAATTGAGTCAAGGAAAGAAAACATGAATAAATAAAAGAAAAATAAATGAAAAAATAAAATCAAATCAAAGAATTAAAAAGTAGCAGAACTACATCACGCAACTAACAGCAGCAAAAGATATAGAAAAAAATAATGAATTATATTAAAATAAAATATATAAAAAAATAAAATAAAAATAAGAATAAAACATCACAGAAAATCACCAACGTGGAACGCATACGACGTGGGAAACGAATGCGCTGAAGCCTGAAGGAATGCGCTCATCGTCGTTCGTACGGTGACCGCAAAGCGCTGAACGAATGCGCTGGCGGGTGGGCCGTGGGCCGCGCGCTGAACGAATCCTGCTGAAATCGCGCATGGGCCAAAATCGCGCGGGGCCGGGATCAGGTGGTCGGCACGCCGACCGGTCGGCGCCGACGGTTTTCGCAAAAAGCACCCAGGCTGGCTGCATTGTTGAAGGGTGTGCACAAGCAGAATTTAGCCCATGTAAACGTTTTCATTGATGATTGAGAAGGGGAAGAAGTGGGGTCGCAGGGAGAGCAGTAGCGGTGGTCTAGTGGACTGAGGCGTGGTAGCCGGAGGCCTTGAGCGATTATTAGGGACGGCCGAACGGATAGAGATGACACCACCACAAAGGGGTGGTCGACGGCATCACAAGGTAGCGTCTGGCGTGGTGGATGTATCCAGTCGTCAGCGCCGGCCGGCGACATGAAAGACGGCGCCAGCCCATTGGCAACGGTGGAGGAAGACGACGACAAGGGCCCCTGTAGCCCGGGTGACTCATTCGTTGGGTGTGGTGAGACACAGACACTACTTCCAGTGGGTGTGTGCGTAGCCCGGACAAATTTTACTGAGAATCGAAAATCGAACCGAAAAAAAAGAAACCGGAATTGAACTGAAAATTCGGTTCCTCATATTGAGAAACCGAAATAATCAAGAAAATTCAGTTCCTACCTCTCGATTAATCAATTAACCGAAAAACCAAATTATATGAATTATACTTCACTTACTTGTATTTTATAGGATTATGTTTGGTTTATGTAGTAGTGCGTTTATATTTGAACTGCTATATATTTGTGTTACTATATTGCTATTGTTTTTTATATATTATTATTATTAAAATAAATATAGTGTTGCATAAATTTGTCTTAGAACAAGTATATTTATTATTGTCTTGAGGTCTTCTGAAAAAAATCAGTTAGTTCGGTTAAAACCGGAACCGAACCGAAATAACCGAGAACCGAAATGCTCGGTTCCTAATTTTTTTTTGAACCGATCGGTTTCTGTTTTCTAGAAACCGAATTTCATCAATAACCGAGAGAACCGAATTGAAACCCAACACTCACCCTGATGTGTGTGTGGGTGACTCATTCGTTGGGCATGGTGAGACACAGACACTACTTCCAGTGGGTGGGTGTGTGCCCGACACCCCCTAACATTTCATGCCCCCATTAATACACTCCATTAATTAGCTACTTAATGGACCAATAACTAGTTAATGATGTTATTTTTATTCAAAATTTCTTCTCTAATAGCATCTTATATAATTAAAATTGACTTTTTTTATTATTTTCTTCATCTCTTTTATTCCTTTTATTTATTATTTTTCTATCAAACATCTAGTTCATCCTCACAGTATACTCTCTTATTAGTTTTCTAAATGTAATTAGTGTTTTCTTGTTTACTCCGCCTCTAAATTGAACGCTAATAGCATTTATATTATTTAGAATTAGTCTTCCTATTATCCTTCTTATTTTCTTTGTTCATGTTATTACTGTGATCCTTTCTTCTAGTCTAAAAATTAGATTGATCGAGTGAACGATAAAGACCTAGGGCTAATTAATTTTATTCTTTCTTTTGTATCGTAACACAACCATTTATTTGGTTGTCATTTGTATACTCTGGCTAAACCACCGCTTAGCGATCTCGGGTAGCCGTCGGGCTCTTCAGTGAAGTGCAAAGGGGTTTTTTAATTGTATAAAAGAGAAACACTAAGAAATTTTAGACAAATATTTCTACATAATAAGATTTGTTTGAGCATGTAAAAATTTCTAGCTTCACTATTGTATATATATATTTTGGACGTGTATATATCTTCTCACATGATCATTGGTTGTCGGTATGAACGGCCCCCTATGTCAAATCCTGGCTCCGCATTGGCCGGCAGCAACAAAGGTCCTCTGCTCGTTTCTACCGATAAGTTACGTACAGTGAAAGATCTTTTAGCGATTTGTTATGGAAAAATAACTGTTCGTTGGTGAAAAAATACTACTTTATAAAGCCAAAACGAACAGGGCACAGAGTGGCATGATCTTGGCACTGCCGACGGTTTCCTGTGCGCTACCATCTCCCAGCCTGTCCTACCACAGTACCCCAGAGGCCAGAGCCACGGCCGGGCGAGCTCCTCGTCCCGTTCCCGTCCGTCCTCGGGTTCACGAGGATCGCGTTGCGCTGCCGCTGCACCGCCCCATCCCCCCCATCCTCCTCGTCCTTGGCCCACGCATCAATCAGTCACCACCACGCTCGGCCCCAGCAAGCATCCTGCGCTGCCCCCTCCCCTCGCATCATTTACGACGCCTCCCTGACACGCTACGGCCCGGTGCGTCCGTCCATGGGCTCGGCGACATCCGCACAACACGAGCACATGCCGCTCTCCAGGTGCCCGGGGGCCACGGAATGGCAGCGGCAGCCGGGCAGACGTACGGCTCGGATGAAGAGATCCCGGAAAATCATGGCTGCTCTGCTCTTCGCTCGCCTCAAGTTCAACGGTTACAGAGGTCAGTAAAAACCAGGAGCTAGTGGCTATATGCAGATCATGAGAGTCACCTCCCATGATTCCAACACGGCAGACACAAGAGACTGCGAGAGACGATCAATACAGCCTCATACTGCGAGACGATTAATACAGCCTCATAAAAAGTTGTTAGGGCCCAATCGCAGAGGATGTTTAGATGCCAAGTAAGAGAACTATAAACATGAACTAATTATAAAACTAATTGCAGAAGCCAAGAGCTAATTCACGAGCCGAATCTAATAAACCTAATTAATCCATAATTAGCACATGTTTACTACATCATCACAAGGGCTAATCATGGATTAATTAGGCTCATTAGATTAGTCTCACAAATTAGCCTAAGGGTTATGCAATTCATTTCGTCATTAGTCTTCGTTTATAATACTCCTAAATAGCATCAAGGTGCTAAAAATTAGCCCCATGAGATCCAAACGCACCCTTAGACAAAAGAAAAATGAGGGGATAAAACAGCTCTGCTCTAGAGGCACATGACTTTTTACAGTTAACAACACCCTACCGAGTCGTTAATCTCCTACATCCCACAAAATGTCAGTCAACTACTCCCACTACTCCCTGCATCGGCTTCACTCTTCAGACGCCTCAAGACTCCCCCAGTCTCCCAGACCTCTTCCCTACTCCATGTTCTGCGAGATGGCCTCGCCGAACTTGAGGAACAGCTCGGCGTCTGAGGTGCTGGACGAGTTGGCGCAGGAGAGAGCGGCAGTGCCCCGCAGGCTGACGTACTCGTTGATGTAGCTTGGTACAGCTGGAGACGGCTGCGGCAGCTGGCCCAGCTGATGCGCGGACGGCTTTGGCGGCAGATCGGTGTTCGCCAGGCAGTCCAGGACGCGCACCACCTCGTGCATCGTCGGTCGGTCCGAGGGTTGCCGCTTGGTGCAAAGGAGCGCCAGCTGGAAGAGCTTCTTCACCTCGCCGAGGTCCTTGCAGGTGTCTCCGATGTCAGGGTCCACGGTATCCATGACCTCGTTGCTTGCTGTCTTCGATAGGATCTGCAATTGAGAAAACATTGACAACGACATATGGAAAAAGTTTCTCCCAGACAAGCTCAATATATGGAAAAAGTTCCTTCCAAACAAGTAGCAGTAGCAGCAGCAGCAGCGCATGTTATGATTTTATAAATGGATCGATTCTGGAACTACAAAATGACTCTAATTTATCACACTGTTGCACATACCTACTGTCAATTTTGAGCCATGTTTGAAACTGAGGTGACTTAAAATGTTACATCAAAGCATGGAGAGCTATGGGGCACATGATAAACCACTGACATCCTGTTAGTTCATTTTTTGCTTTCCATCTACATTATTTATGACAGGGGGACACCAACGGTAGGCTTTAGGGGACAGACACACAGCTACTTATAATGGAGCTTTCAGTCACCAAATCCAATGGATCAGCTCATAAGTCCACAGCTGGTCTACAGTGCAGATAGATCTACTCACATGCTAAGCCTAATGGTCATTGTTCAGCAATTATTGGGCACTATTGGAATCCAAAGCGATATAAGATGAAGGAAAGCGACTTCTAATTGAACAAATGCAGGAGACTGAAGATTAGTTACCAAGTGATGGAGATTGCACTCGTTGTCCACTGGCTTCTTGCCAGTCAGCAGCTCCAGCAGAACAATGCCATAGCTGTAGACATCAGACTTTTCGTTGAGACGGGAAGTGCGGGCGTACTCAGGATCAATGTAGCCAATAGTGCCCATGACATAGGTTGATGTGTGAGTTTTGAGACACATAAGCTCTTAGCAATGCCAAAGTCTGTAAGATGGGCCTCATAATCGTTGTCAAGGAGTATATTCTTTGATTTTACATCCCGGTGAATTATTCGTGGACTGCAGTCATGGTGAAGGTAAGCAAGGCCTTGAGCTGCACCAAGAGCAATCCGTAGGCGAGTCTCCCAGTCAAGTTTTTTCTTCTTGGATGAACCTTCTGAAAGAAAATAGGTTTACATTATAAAATGGTATAGTAATTGCAGCCAAATATCCATGACCATTAAATAAGCAAGCCTTTGTCAAAACATGAACTGTCTTGAGAGGCCAACTGATGTTGTGTGACAGGTAAACAAACAAACACTGTTCCGGCTGATTTGTTTGTGAGTGAAAAACACTGTTCGGCTGAAAAAACAAGCTAAAAAGTACAGATTATAAGAGAAGCGATTGAAATGAAAAGCAGCATAGTGGTGCTAGTTCCTGGTCGCTTTATAAACAGTTCTCATGATTCCTTAACCACAAAAAAAATGTCTGCATGGGTTTGGGACCTGGACTTACCATGTAAAACATCCCATAAGCTGCCACTTTCCATATAATCATAAAAGAGGAGGTTGCCAACAGGTGATAGTGAGTACCCTTGAAGGCTGACTAGATTCCGGTGCTTGATGCTACCAACAGTCTCGAGCTCAGTTTCAAATTCCTTAAGGCTGTGCGGGTAGTGGGCATACAGCTTTTTTATTGCCACTGGTTTGCAATTCTTTAGAACACATTTATAAACTGTACTTGACGCCCCGTATCCAATGATGTATTTCTCACTCAAGTTCTCAGTCATCCTCATTATATCATCGTATACATGAAGGGCCATGTTCATATGAAGGATCACCAGCTTGGGGGGAGCATTGCTCACTGCAAACAGAATGGATATCAATTAAAGGATATCAATGTTGTTCTAGCATCAACTATTAGAGACCAGTAAACTACTAAGTTGAATCCAGACAATACTATTATTTGACAAAAACTATTAGTACATCAACATTACAAGTAAGATAAGATACTAAATAAGGTGGTGGACCATCATATTATTGTAAGAGGAGATTCCAAAGTTAGTAAATGCATTACCTTGCTTGCTTACAGTGACATCTTTAAAAGCAGGTGGACGGTGTGGCCTGCAAACAGCCACTAAGATCATCAGGAGGATAACAAGTCCACCCACAGCAACACCAATTATGGCAACCTTTGAGATTGGCGCTGAATAGAAAATCCAGGAAGAAAAGATCTTGGTTTATAATGTACTCATAAAATTCAGGTCAAATAAATTGATGAATGCAGCACTCTTCTTACGTTTCTCAGCGGTGGCCAGTGGAACGGTTACACGAAGAACCAAGCCAATATCCACAGAGTCCAGGATTACCTAAAAAGCTGAAGAAATAACAAGATCGCTAAACTACTATTTCCAAGTATAAGCAAAAAGATAGTCATGATTGAATTCATGGAGCACAATACCTGTCAGGTGAAAACCGTGTGAAGTTGTTGTCAGCAGGGACAACACCAGCCAAATTATTGTATGACACATTTCTGTCCAAAGATGCAAAAGGTCAATGTTAGAAAAATACTTACTTCAAAAAAATGTTAGAAAAATACAAAATTTTGTGCATCCTTCCAATATTCAGGTTATGAAATTACAAGATATTGAGGCTGAAGCAGTTCATCAGAGAAGACACATCGCCAGTTATATTGTTATTTTCCAGTTTTCTACAAGAGTAAATGATGATTCAGAACAAAGCTGCACTTGAAAAACTAAACTTCCAGACTAAAAAACTAGGATATAACTTACAACAACATCAGGTTTTGCAGCATTCCAAGTTCTTGAGGAATCAGGCCACCAAGGTGATTATAGGATAAATCACTAGAAACAACAGTCAAGTCATTAAAAATATAATGCAAGGAATATTCAATAAAAGGATTCACATAAATAAGGTCAAGTACTTACATCTCCATGACACTCCTCAAATTACCAAACTCCGCAGGGATAAATCCAACTAGACCATTCTTGCTCAAGTTACTAGAGAAACATGTTCAATGTCAGGATATGAAGCAGGAAACATACCAAGAAACCAGAGCCCAAAAAAACTTACAGCCTCAATAGATGCTCTAGGCTGCCAATGGATGATGGAATTGGACCAGTCATCATGTTACAGGATAAGTCCCTGGTACATATATCTATGTTATATATAGCATTAGCATGAAATGGATACTCTTAATACATATGAGCTGATGAAGGCTTACAACGTGTCCAAATTGTTGATCCTTGATAGCTCAATAGGAATAGATCCACTTATGAAATTTGATGACAGATTTCTGAAGAAACAAAGGAAACGGTTGAATGTGAGTTACAAATCAATATGAGCAAAACAGCATATCAGTACAAAAAAATGGAAATGTGTTCAACTCAATTTAGCACAGCATGAGGCTCAAAATTTATTGGAACTTACAAATAGGTCATGCTTTCAAGTTTCTGCAACGAACAAGGAATGGTCCCATTTAACTTGTTGCCATAAGCATTGCTGTTAAATAAAATTAGCATGTTATATAGATACTTGCAACATTGCACATGAGCTGCAAATTTTCAGAAATAATTTGTGCTTACAAGCTATTGAGATTCACACATGAACTTAGGTTGTCAGGAATTGGTCCTTCAAGGTGGTTATTCGCAAGGTTCCCTGCGATATAAGTAGAATCAGCGATGTTCATGCAATGTAGTTTTCTGGAGAACAAGAAAACACTGGTTCACGTGACAAGTAATAAGAGGGTGCCTGAAAAGTACTTACAGGTCAAACAAGCCTGTTAGCCTTCCAAGCTCTGGTGGAATTGACCCAACAAGTTGATTATCGTTCAGTTCTCTGAATTTAGATAGTTATATCAAAGATAGATTAATGGTCAACCTGAATCTTGATATCCATAACAGAAGGAATACTAAAACTTACAGGTAATGAAGTGTTGACATATTTCCTAACTCTGGTGGTATCGACCCAGTTAACCTATTACCTTGGATGTACCTATGAAGTTTTAACATGTATAAAGACAAACTTAGAAATATGTTCAGATCAAACTTTTTCTAGGGGTGAAGTGTATCAGTTCAAACTAAAATCTTGAAAATCTATGAACCAGATTTAGGGGATAAGAATTCTTACAGCTTCTCAGTATATGTCAAGTTGCCTAGTATAGATGGTATAGGACCAGATAATTGGTTGTAACTCAGATCTCTGATAGAGTAAAAGTTCCATGAATTAGCAAACATATTTCTTTCACTACCAGCAATGAGAAAGCAATGTCTCATTTGTAGATTAGTCAACTATCTAGTAACTGTAGAATTCACTGTAGGACTTACAGAACAGCGAGAGCCTGCATAAGACCAATTACTGAAGGAATTGGACGGTGAACATGTTCCTTGCAAGGATCTAATAAAGGGTACATGCAGCTTTGCAGGTAAGCTTATATATATTAGGCATGTAATTACATCATTTTCAGTGAAAAGAAACAGGCAAACAGCACATACAGTGTAGCCACTTGTAGGAAACCAATGTTGAATGGGATTGGTCCAGTAAAGCGGTTGTAAGACAAATCCCTACCAATATAAAATGTTAGGAAAAATGATATATATGAAAAGTTAAATCAATTATTTCAGGAGTGGCAAGAATGCATATACGTACAAGACCTGAAAACTTGTACAATTCCCAATGGTGTCTGGTATCACCCCAGTCAAGCTATTGTTCTTCACATCACTGATCAAATTAGTGGGAAGCTTAAAACCAGATTGAAACGAAAAAAAAAAAACTTGCAGCAAACTAGACAAGCAGTGTACTTACAAGTACCAAAGGCCAGTCAGCTGGCACATATCAGGAGAGAGGCTTCCTTCTAAATGATTGCCCCTGCAAGCCCCTAGTAATTATAGTTACTAATTTAGCCACAAAACTTAGGAGAAATTACTTGATGTTTCAGTAACAACTTATGTGTTTGAATGCCATTTCACAAGAATATATCCAAACCATAAAGACTTAATAATGCTGCCCAGCTTTTACTGAGCAGCCAGGCCCTTAAATATATAGTAGCAATGTATGTACAGTACCAGCAGTCCAGCACTAGTACAAACTTTTTTGAACCTCAAGGATGACTTACAGATATTGAAGAACCTCATTCCAGTAGATAAGCCTTGGTATCTCCCCAGTCAGTTTGTTTTGTGCCAAATCCCTGGAGTGCGCATCACATTAGAAATTCTGAACCATCCTAGTTGATCCACCTTATAAGAATCATGTAGCAGTAGTAGCTTACAAAATCTTCAAATTTGGGAGCTGTGACAATGTTGATGGGATAGCACCAATCAGCTGGTTGTTCTTCAATATCCTAGAAATCACAAACAGCACCACAAAATCTGTAAAACTTCAAAATCCCCAAATGACGTGTATTTCTATGGATTTCAGAGGAAGAAGCCTCACAAGTTCTCCAGGTGCTTCAGCTTTGATATAGAAAATGGTATGTCGCCATCCAGGTTGTTGAAAGAAAAGTCCCTAAAGGAAAAGGCAAAGTTTGAATAAAAGCACTACCACCACAACCACAACTAAACATGGATTACTCGAAGTTCAACTTACAGAGTCTTAAGTGATGAACAATCGCCAATCTCATCAGGGATCTGCCGGATAGCCCATTTGACTTCAGATCGCTGAATGTGAATGCAAAGGAGACCAGTTAACACAGGTCAGGAAAGTAAAATCTAATCAACAGCAGTTGTTTGGACAAACAAGAAATCATCCGTACATGGAGACGAGGCTTTTGAGGCTGCCGACGGCTGAGAGATCTCGCCCTCAAGGTTGAGGCCAGAGAGGTTGCTGCATTGCATTGGCGCCAACCCGCATCAGTGGCTACACATCGCAATCGTTGGGAAAGGAGCAAAGTTTAATGGACGCTCTTCTTACAGCGCAGCGACGGCGAATGTGACGTTGTCGCACAGGACGCCGCGCCAGGAGCAGTAGTCGTCGCCGGCCCAATCGTACAGTACGTTGCCGACGTTGCGGAAGGACTTCTTGATCTCCACCAGCGTCGCCCTGGAAGATGCAGAACTAGCCGCATTAGCAGAAAAAAAAATGGAGACACAGAACAGATTACAGACTGGTAGAAATCTGAACAGACGATTCGGCAAATGGAATATCAGCAGAAAGGGAGTCGGATAAACAAGATAGTTGGATTCTCACTGTTGTTTTCAGGCAGGAAAGCAAAGGAACCGGGGAACGTCAGATTTGGAAAGCCCAAATATGACACGATAGTGAAATATGAAGTTACTTGGATTCATTCAGATAGGAAATAGGATCATACTCCAGAATAGCAAACCAAACACAGCTAAAACACACAAGAATAGAACAGACTAAACAAAAGAGACCAAGCTTCCAACACTGAAGGGACAAATAAAGAAACAAGAATGTTCTGAGCATTTGCTCCAATAAGCAGCACAAGAAGGCACATGTAAAAAAAACAAAACAGAACATGAAGAGAGAAAAAAAAGATCACATTTTGAAACATGGGCAGACTAGTTATAAAAACTCGTAGGCATGGAAGAAGAGAAGAATAGAAGATGAGATGAGAAGAGGCACAACTCACAAGGATTAGTTAAGTGTGTTACACTCGGGTTACGGGCTTATAGGGCTATAAAAAAATGGGAATGGAACACTAGCGAATCACCATGCCTCCAAAAGCGCGTACTTGCAGCGCTAATAAAATACCAATCCTAACAAACCCAACCCCCTGAATCTTTGCTCCCCAGTAGGCAACCAGAGGGCTCCTCCCAGAGAAGAAAGAAATAAAGAGAAATGGATATAGAAAAAAGAAACAGATCACCAACCATCGTCGGCGACGGCGACGGCGACGAGGAGGAGGGCGACGAGAGCACGGGCGGCCGTCGTCGTCATGGCCACTGAGCTGCGGACAGGCATCGGGGGAGTGACATTACAGGGAGAGGACAGCGACGATGGAGCGCGAAGCGTGCTGCAGCGAGCCTGCCTCCTCTGCCTGCCTGCCTTAATGGGGCGGAGCTCTTGGTTGGTTTCGTGGGTTCTCGCGCTCCATAATTATCAGCTTTTTAATAGCATGAGCTGATTTATAAGCCACGTACGGTAAACAAGAAAAAGAGCGTAGAGAGTGGTTTCATATGATGAGAGAGATGGGGAGAAGGACAATGAGCGTCTGAAAGGTCACATCAATGATCTACAGTGCTTTTCTCTCTCTATCTGGTTGGCCTAGGGCAGTAGAACTCAGAGTAACAGATTGAGGAGCATGGCCCAGCTGACATGTAGGGCCTACGGGTTTGGATTGGGTTAATGCTTAGCTGTGAGTCTGCAGGGGGCAACTGCAGCGGCAGGTGGACCACCACACTTCTGTATTTTCGATACACTGTGTTTAACCTTCCCTGATAGGTAAGGGTAAGGGTAACGGTAGGGCTAGTTTCATCAGAATCTCGACCTGCTTTTTTTTTGCAATTCAAGTTTTAGCCCGTTCGTTTTATCGTATTTGGTTTTATAAGACATGCCTTATCACCAACGGATAAGATTTTTTCTCTTACACCAAATCACGCTAACAGCTATTCTTCACCATATAGCTTATAAGTCAAACCAGCCCAAACAAACAGAGCATTTATCAAATAAGCTAAAGCCAGACAAAATGTTACTATAAATTTGACAAGCCAAATATAAGAGATTTTAAGTTTTGATAGCAAATCAAATAAATGCGAAAATCATGACCAACCAAAATTTTGGCTTGGCATACTTTAGAGCGAACTAAGCAGACCCTTTACATCGAGTAAGTTTCTCATACATCCTATAACGAGTGTCATTCTTATTTTTTAGGAAAATTAAATTAAATATTTTAAATTTGATCAATTATATATATAATATTAATATTTATGATACATCATCATCGGATGAATCCTTTGGATATATTTTCATAATAAACATATTTAGATATATAAATATTGCTAATATTTTCTAGATACCGAAACTTAAAAAATGACTAACACGAACCCCATATATCGATATTCTTTTCGGATAGAGGGAGTAATGATTTTGAAAAAATAATAATATAGAATTTGGTTAGCTACAATATTCAATTTTTTCATTGTGTCGTCATAAAAATATACTATACAAACTCTATGGTCATTTTGATATTATTATAAGCATTAGCATATTATTACAATTGGGTCATATTGACAAATAGATATGTTTACCATACTAGGCGACTTCTTGTGTTTGAAATTTCACATGGTAAATAAATATTGCAAATGAAAATAGCGGCCATGCTTTCATCGTAGTTGGCCGCGCTTTCTTCGTAGTTGGCCGCACGAGATGAAAGAGATGAAACAATCAACCTTAGTGCGAATTTCATCACCTTCCCAAGGCCTTGGAAATAATGCTAACAAGTGTGATAGAATCGTCCAAAATAACACATCTTTGGAGGCGTTCGTCTTCCACCAGACGCTAAGCACCCTGAAAGTAAGCTACATCGGACGGATTCCGTCGAGCACACTCCAAAGAAGAACTCGAATAATCAACGTTTTTCCTCCAGGATCCAATAATGAGAACGAGTTTACAATACTTAGTCTATTTCATACAACAAGAGTTCTTAGAAATACATTATTACAATACAAAGTTCAGAGTGCGGAATTTAAACAGCGGAATTACAATAAATATCTAACGATAAGATACAAGGATCCGTCTGTGTCCACCAAAAGAATCCTCCACACAACAGCTACTCCTCAAGCTGCACCTGCAACGGGAGTAAATAAACCATGAGTCCACAATGTACTCGCAAGACTTACCCGACTAGTGTGAATACTTTCCCGACTCTAAAGGATATGATAAGTTTTATGGTTTGATAGATTTTCTTTTTGCAAAAACGATACTAGTAGTGAATCCTTATGCATGTGTTTTATTAGCAGTCATGATTAGTTCATTAGCTAATCATTCTATGTAAGCACATGTTCTACTTTCAAGCAAGAGTTGAGCAATCAGATCTATTTCATGATCTTTCATCTTCCAGTTCTTACTACGGTGCTAGATCGTAGACAAGTCATACCAGATTATTCGGTGATTCGTGAATCAATGTGCCTAGTTGGGTACCCTGAAACACACACCCCGCTTGTACCCTAGGCACAAGCAGGACCAACCCATCACTCTCATGTCAAGGGGTCTAGGTTCCCGTCTAAACTTGAACTCCAAGCCCCTACACCTGAGTTCCGGACCCAGTGTGGTGCTTAGACCTTCACCATCCCCACCTCCAATCCATCAATTCAGAAAGAGCCGGAACCCACGACAAGAGAGCAACGAGCCTTCTCTGCTCCCATAAATAAGTATGTGCTCGGAATAATAAGTCTGTGATCTTACTAGAATCTAATGCAACGGCCGGTCCTTAACCGACACGGACAGAAAAACAGTGTAACCAAGCTATGTCCCGTTGGCCGTGGGACACAACCTCTTACACCTACCAATACACATACCATATCCCTGCTCGGTCTCCATTTCTTTTCACCATTTTATCATGAGAGTGATAATAATCACCTATTGTAAGTAATGGCAGGTTACTCACGCTACCGAAAAACCTAAGCATAGCAGCTACTCGATCTAAGCTAGTAGGACTCATAGGTAGATATATCTATGCATGTAGTTTCAATATAAATCATGTAACGTAATTGCACATCAAATATATATTTCCAGTGATTAGTGAAAATAAGGGCTATTCACCTAGGCTTGCCTTGGGCAGGCGCGGTGTCAGCTCAGTTAGTCCGTGGCGGCTCCGGGACCTCCTCCGGCATGAGGACCTCCTCCTCGTACTCTTTAATCACCTCTTCGTACTCCTGCTCGCCCTCAGTCACGAACTCCACCAACTCGTTTTCTACATACATGCAATGACGATGCAACGCTCAATATTAAGGCAACAATAGTTCTTAAAATAAGAATACATCTACTAAGCCACTAAGCTAGCTCTAATGACCAAGATACCGAGCTAATCATCATTCCCATCAAACCAGCAGGGCTTCACCTACAAGTGCTACTTAGCAACTAAAATATATTCTTACTCTTATTAAAGATTCCCTATATACTACAACAAGGAATACTTAACTACCATATTTCTCAACCGATTCTAAGGCTACAAAAATTACAGTAAACACATAATAATACAATGAATCTACTGTAAAAATTTTATGGTCAAAGCAATTACCAGTTTGCCACAAAAATTCCTATAAATACTAACCTAAATAATACTAAACACTCACAAATGATTTAATAGCCGCTGGTGTCAACAAATATATATGAACTAAATATACTAACAGATAGAGCATAATTTTAGAAACCTAACAAAATTAGTTTCATAATTTTTGGACACCTATGCAAATTGATATTAATTTTCAAAGTTTAGCTCAAAAATTAAAATATAAAGCTATTTGTAATTCCTTAAGAAAAAGGAAAACAAATTCCATCCACGGCCCACCACCGCGCGGCCCACACGGACGTGGCCCAACACGAGGCGGCCCACAATGGGGAGGCCCATGCGCGCGACACATATGCAAAAACGCCCCTAAACTCAGGTCAAATTAACCCGCAGTCCTTGTCACTATTCCTAGAGAGAGCAACTATGCAATGAAACCTTCGGAAACTCGCTCCTTTACAACGGCGTGGTCCTCGGCCACCCGCGCGCGTGCCGGCACGACGATGATGGCATTGGATGGTCACGTCGGCCAGCTGGGACCCACGCTGGCTCCACTAACGAGCCAACCCCCATCTACAACCCTAGCGTCTACACTGGCCTAGGTTACTAGAGCGGTGGAGTTCACGAAAGTGGTGACCACGGCGTGCGCCCATGCGTGACAGTGGCGCGGCCATGCCGGCCACCCTAACCCACCGCGGGGTAAACTAGCTAGCGTTATAGCATCACTATCTTACCCTGGTTGCGGCTGCGGTGGTGGTTTGGCCGGAGGTTCCCTGAACAGGGTTGGCCACGTGCGGGGTGGTGGGATGTGGTGGCGCTCTAAGATGGCGCGGCCACGTCAGTGGCTACGGCGAGGTAGTAGAGGTGCAAGTGAGGTGCGTAGGGTGAAGTGGTGGTGGAGACAGAGTTCGTGGTGTAGATCGATTGACGAGGGGTGGAGCAGTGGGTGGCTGCCCTTGGCCACGGCCGGTCCCGGCCTTAATGGCACGGTAGAGGGGAAACTCCAAATTGGAGTTTGTCGTGGCTCGATTCAAGGCGGGGTGGGGACGGTTGGCATGCGGACATCAATGCGCATACACGGGCACGCGAAATTGAAGGCAAGTGCCTACGCCTTGGCTCACCGTGGTCATGATGTGACGGCGGAAACAGAGGTGGGCAGGGAAGAATGAGAGGACGGGAGGTGATGAGGACGCGGTTGGTAGCTGGCGAGTGCACCTTGGCGCGATGCGGCTGGCGCAACCTGGACGGCCCACACCCAGCACTAGTCGACGGCACACGCTCGAGGTCGACGTGTCCCATGCGCCATAGTGCCATAAATGGCATGGCGGCGGTCCGGTCACGAACTGCGTGCCTGGCCGCCAAAGCGGACCGATGGCAGGCGTGGTGCAGTGGCAGGTGAGAGCGAGACGGTGACACGACGGCAACGCTAGCGTCGTGGTGTGCGGTGGGAGCAGCGCGTGGGGTAGGTATTACGGGCGCTCGGTTGTGTGAGCAAAGAAGAACGTGACAACGGCAAAGCGACGGTGGCGGCAGCGATGGGATGAGTCGGCACCATGGCTCCACGCGCGGCGGCCGAAGCGGTCGATGGATGCGGCTAGAGCAAAGAAGACGTCAGCGGAATGAGACTCCACGTGGCAGGGCGGCAACTGCGGCTAGGACGCTGGGCCCATGTGGCAAGAAGACACCAGCGTAGCTGTGAGCGACTTACTGT